TTGTTTATTACAAGCTGTTTTAGTTGAAGATTATATTTAATTAACTGAATTATGTGCACGTCTTGATATTGTTACAATGTCATTATTTGCACTTTCATGTAAACAAATACAAATGGAAGCAATTTTATTTAATCGTGATTAATCAACAGCTGGTGTTTCTTGAAATTCAATCAATAACAGGACAATTTCGTCGATTTGAAAATGATTTTTCTTCTGTTGAACATGTTAATATTCATGGTATACAATCACAACGTTGTCGATTACAATTTCGTTTATCAAATGATATACAAACACATTTACCACTTGGTAACAATAAAAAGAACTGTAGGATTTGTTATGAATGAATGTGGTTTACAATGTTTATGTTTTAAATTAATTAATAATGCAGCTAAGCAACAATGTATATATATTTTACTAATAATAATACAGACTGATGAAACACAAACAACAAGAACTTCATCAAAACATAAATCAAAAAGAAAACAATCAACTGATGTAAGTTAAAAGAAATTATCAGACTAATACATAACTAGATTTCCCACTCATGCATCGCCTGAAAAAACCAATCACACATGTTGTTTTTGTAGTAAAGTCATGTAAGCTTGCCTATTAGACAGACGAGATAGTATTTCTGATCTGAAGTATTCAGCATATTTTGATATATTAGAACTTCGTAATAATATTCATAAAACTGGAAAAAGGTAGAAGATAAGATAGTGATCATACCATGATATGTGTGACTAAGACATATCTATTACAAATAATGAACGTTTTATTTTCAAACCTGAATTAAAATATTTTAGAATAAAAAATTTTGAACGTCATATATATTTTATTTTTTATATCTTTAGCCACTCCCACACCCACACACACCCTCAAGATATATTACTTATACCATGAAAAATATTAAGTACATTAGAAACTCATGTATAAATCAAATATATATATATATATTTGAATATTGTTTCAAATTAAAAATAAAATTAATCTTAGATTTTATTTTATATAATAATATTTATTTTATATATAAAAATCTATTATATTAATCAAGAAAAAGAATATTTAATCAAGAATACTAATGTCAATTATAAATAATAATACATCATTAAGAACCAATAGCTTTAATAGGTATATCTTATGAATTTACTGGTGGTATTTATTCATGAAATGATTTATGGCATGTATTAAAAGAAAGTCGTGATGTTGATAGTGCAATATCAAGTGGTCAATTTGATCTTGAATCATTTACTGCTCATATGATTAATATGGATAATAATGGACAGTTTCGTCAAAAACTTTGTCGTGCTGGTTATTTTTATGTCAAATCAATAATGGAATATGTCTGAAGCAACTTTTTTTGGTTTATCAGATGCTGAAGCAGGAAGTGTTGATCCATGTCATCGATTACTTATGTTAAAATTTGTTCATTTGGTTGATGATGCTGGATATAGTGTCGAAAAGCGAATGATACGAAAACATGAGTACATATTGGACAGCTTTCAACAGATCATGCAGTTGTAGCAGCTCGTATGAGATCTGAACATTGATCAAGATTTCATGGGCCTAATAGTTTATTATACAATGCATGAGCACGTTTATCATATTATTTTAATTTACATGGTCCAAATGTATCATTAGATGTTACTTGTTCATTATCTTTAGAAGCTTTACATATGGCTGTACAATATCTTCGTAGAAATGAAGCTGATATGGCTGTATGTGGTGTCGACCATTTAGTGCTGATGCTAATGGTTCTGCTAAAGGTAAAAAGTCAATTGATTAGTTTTCTATTTAGAAATAAATTTAAATTTGAATTCTCTAGGTGATGATCTTGGTCTTTTATTATTAAAACGATTAAGTGATGCTGAACGTGATTGGTGATCGTATATATTGTATTATTCGTGATGTACTTAGTGGTCATGATGGAAATGAAGAAAAAATAAATTTTGTTGTACCATCAGCTGCTGGACAAGGACGTTTATTAGCAAATATTTATTCACAAAATAATTTCGATACTCGAAAAATCTTATTTGTTGAAGCGCATAGTAGAGGCACACCAGTTGGTGATCCAATTGAAGCTAATTGTTTAGATCGATTTTTTAATCGATCAAATCTTGATCCACCATTATTATTATGTTCAATTAAAAGTAATTTAGAACATACTGAAGGTGCAGCTGGTATTGCATCACTTATTAGAGTTGCTATGTGTATGTATTATCGTAGTATTACAGCAAATATGCAATTTACTTCACTTAATCCGAAAATAGAAGCACAAAAATATAATTTATATATTCTTCAAAATTCTGTACCATTTCCAACACTTCTAAATAATGAAAAAGTAGCTATTGGTGTTAATTCATTTGATATGGGTGGTACGACGACACATGCTATTATTGAAGAGTATCAACTAAATAAAACATCAATTGAAAATGATTATATCGATCACGAAAATCATATTCAAAGCAAACAAGAATGTTTGATTTTTATTTTTTCAACTAAGTTATTTTTTCTTTTGATTAATAAATACTTTATTTCTTCATCTTATTCAGCAAAAAGTCGTCAATCTCTTAGTCATCAATTAATGGTATAGATGATGATGATGATGATCAAACTTTTCTTCAACGTATATCACAATAACTTCTTCTTAAAAGAACAATTAGTTTTAAACATTTAGCAATCTTTATTTGTCTTAATCGTCAACAATTACAAAAACAAATCAATGCTTTTTTTACTAAAAAAGTATTACCAGATCTCACAATCATCATGCCCAATAAAATTATTATCAAAAAAATATGTTTTGTGTTTAGTGGATAAGATCCACAATTATATGAAAGTGAACCATTATTTAATAAATGGATTAGTTTAATTGATGGAGAAATGACAAAAATTAACAATGGTGAATGGAGATTATTAGAAGAATTAATTGAAAAGAAAAATGAACAAGAATCTCGTATTAATGATACAAATATTGCTCAACCAACATTAGTTGCTATACAAGTTGCATTAGCAGCTTTACTTGTTTCATAGAATATTTATCCATCATCAATTATATCACATAGTGCTGGTGATCAAGCAGCTGCTTTTGTTGCTGATCGTTTAAGTTTAGAAGAAACTGTTCGTATGTTAGCTGTTTCAATGAGTGAAGAAGAAGTAGAAAATAAACTTCTTAAAGATATTGAACATTTGGCTTGTATTGCTGTTGTTGATAGTCCTCGTTCAGTGACAATAAGTGGTGATGAAACACAACAAATACTTTCAATCTCTTATCCAAATATATTTAAAGCATGTGTTCGTATTGAAAATGCATTTCATTATATCAAATAAATCGATTTTATATTGAATAAGATATGTTATTATCAGTAAAAAATATTCGTGAATATTCAATACAAGATTAAAAACAAAGTTTTCATCCAATATGTGCAACACCAAAACTTTATTCAAGTATTACTGATGCTAGAATGAACGATAATATACCAGTTGATAGTCAAATGTAAGACAAACTGTTCGATTTTATGATACTATAACATTAATTATAAAAGATGAAGCAGCAAATGTTTTTCTTGAAATTTCACCACATCCAGTTTTAAGTACATCTATTCGTGAATGTTATGAATTAACAAATCAACAACAATCATCACCTCCACTTATTCTCCCAACATTAAAACGAAAAGAATACGAACAAATAACATTATTTACTAGTTTAGCACAACTTACAACATTATCTCAAGTATGGCAACAATATTTTCATACTCGTCAAATTTTACCGTTGAAAAATCATGAAGAATATTTTGATAATTTTCCATTATATAAATTTCATTTGAGTCCATGTTGGTATGAATCAAAAGATTCATCTATACAACGTTTAGCTAATCGTATATCTACTCACCCATTGCTTGGTATTCGACAATTAAATGATCAAACAAATGCAACAATGAAAAAGTCTCATTAATATTAATGTACCACAACATGCTTTCTTAAAAGATCATAAAATTCAAGATGCAATTCTTTTCCCGGCTGCTGCTTATCCTGAACTCGTAACAACTGCTTGTCATCAATTACTTCCCCCAAAAGAGGATGATCAACAACAACTAACACTTATTTTTGAAGACGTAAACTTTAATAAAGCACTTATTCTTAATGAACATGAATTGATGGAAGTATTTATACAAATAATTATGCCAATGCGTGAATGGTATATTATATTTTGTAATCAAGATAATCGTAATAAATATTCATTAAATGAATTTACTTTATATGCACAAGGCAAAATTGAAATAGATTCTAAACAACAAAAATCATTAACAATACCTGATAGATGGACCATACAAGATATACGAAGTGCTTATGCACATCTTTCAACACGTGCTTATCAATATGGATCTAGTTTTCAAAAAAAAAAATAAAAACATTACATGGTACTTCAACTACAATTATATCTCGATTATCAAATGATACTAATAATTGTTCATCTTATTATTTACTGCATCCATATCTAGTTCTATTACCAGGTGTTGAAACAACATTTCTTCCTGTACGTATTCAAAAATTTATTTATTCAAGTAAAACAAAAATAAAAACGAATCAGTCAACAAATATCGAAGTATGTGGAAACTATTATGATAATATATGGGGTATAGATCAAGAAGAAATATATAATCTTGATTTATGGACATTTCCAATGGATAATAAAATCGAAGAACCAATATTTACATTTGAAAGTATTGTTATTCAGCAGATTCAAGGTGTACAATCTGGTCGATGGTGAATGGAAAAAACAATTTATGATAAATGAAATCTAACAATTGATTTACCTAATATTGATCATAAAACATATTTAGATACAATCCTAAAAGAATATGGACTGATTCCCCAATAACAAAAGATATATCACATTTACTTCCATCACCTAATCAAATTCTTAATAATCAACTTAATTCTATTAGTAATCAAGATTTAATTGAATCAATAGGACCATTTAATGAATTAGCTGCTTATTATGCTCAAATGGCAATAAAAGATCTTGATTTGAATCAACAACATCATCCATTATTAAATGCGTGTCATTCTCTTGCTTCAACTTTACATGAAGAAGTAACATGGCATTCAACACAACTTCGTCTTATTCAATTAATTGAGCGTTTTCCTCGTTTAAAACCATTTTTAATAACATTAAATAAATATGGTTTACATTTAAAAGATATTCTTAGTGGAGAAAAAAATAGATTAGATATATTTGTTGAAGACGATGAAATTGAACAATCTTTTTCAACAAATTAAAACTCTTATCAGGGCAACTAAAATACAACAAATTTTTCATTCTATTTGTCAACATTTACAATTACAATATCTGCAACAACAAATTAAAGACAATTCATTTGAAAATTATCGATTACGTATATTTTGGTTAACTGATAGTGATTGTTCAGATGTTTTACCTATTCTTGATCTTCTTCTTAATTTATCACAACAAACAGGTTTATTAATTGATTTACATTATGAAGATTCTGATCCAGTACAACTTGCAAATGCTCAACAAACATTTAATACACATCTAACTAATCAAAAAAAAATTTCTCTATTATTTATGATGAAACAATTGATTTATATGATAGTAAAATACTTGAAAAAATACCAATACAATCATTTGATATTATATTTTTTTCCAATCTATTTCTAGAAAATCAAGATGTAACAAATTGTTTAATTGATCTTCGTCGTTTCCTTGTTCCTAATGTTCTTCTTTTATTACTTGAGTTAGTTCATATTCCACTTTATTCTGACCTTATTGTTGGTTTTATTGATCAATGGTGATCATCTGATGATGTTGATAATAATAATCGTGCCTTAAATAATATTCAACAATGGACAAAATTATCAAAACAAATCCAAGGATTTAATATTATTGAATCAACATTAAAACAAAATGAAAGTACATTAGTTATTAGTCAAAAAAACAATATCAAAAGAAATATTACAAAGACTTGATGAAAGAAAAAATCAAATATGGTTAATATTTACTAAAGATGATAATAAGAATAATATTCTATCATCATTATTACCATGTTCGAATATTAAAATTTTTGATATTCGTAATTCAACTTCAGATATGATTTGTTTTGGAATACCAGTTCTACTAACTACTTATAAACAAGTATCTATTATTTTTGCATGGCAACTTGATCAAGTATCATTGAATGAAAATAATGATGATTTAGCATTTAAACAAAATGAAGAACTTATATGTGGAACATTATCACGTATTCTTCAAACAATTCAAAAATCATCACCATATTTTCATCCATTTGTATATGTTCTTACAGATCATGCTCAATTTAATAATGATTCGAATCTTAATATAATTGCATCATCATTTATTGGTCTTGCACGAAGTTTAATAACTGAATATGAACGACATCGATTACAACTTATTGATCTTCAAACATCATTAAATAATAATAATCAATCAATATTTATTTATACTTTAATAGAATATATGATTAATTCAAGATATTCAACTGATACTTGTGAAGTTGTTCTTCGTCTTAATGATACAAATCAAAATCAAGTTTAACATTTAACATGGCATTATGAAATGTTACAAAAATCTGCTGATGACGAACAAGAGAAATCTAAATTAGAACAAATTTCTATTATTGCTAAACGAGATGCTGATGAAAAAGCATTTCGTATTTGTTTACCACCATGTCGTTTTCTTTCTGAATTAACATGGATTGAAGAAGATAGAGAAAAAGAATTATTACCACCGTGTATGGTAGAAGTTCGTGTTCATTGTGTTGGTATTAATTTTCGTGATGTACTCAAATCACGTGGTCTTTATCCACATACGCGCCCTTTTGCACAATCTGATGAAAATCAACCAAAACTTGATCGAGATACAGAACCAGGTTCAGATTTTGTTGGTACTATTATACGTGTAGGTCCTACAACAACTAGTTTTCAAGTTGGTGATCATGTTGTCGATGTTACTGGTGATGGTACATATCATTCTCATATTATGATTAATTCACAACTTATAATACGTATTCCATCTGATTCTCCTCTTACTGATGAACAATTATGTGGTCTACCATGTCCAATTTTAACAGTTATATATTCTCTTAAATATCGTGTTCATTTACAATCTGATCAAACTGTTCTTATTCATGCTGCAACAGGTGCTGCAGGTCAAATGTGTATTCAATATTGTCAATATATTGGTGCTCGTGTTATTGCTACAGCTGGAACTGAAGAAAAACGACGTTTTCTTCGTGAACATTATGGTATTGAACATGTATTTAATAGTCGAGACACGTCTTTTGTTAATGATATACGTCAAAGCCTCCCACAAGGTATTGATGTTATTGTTAATTCATTATCAGGCAATTTACTCAAAGAATCAATTAAATTATTAGCATATCGTGGTCATTTTGTTGAATGGGGTAAACAAGATATTTACCATAATGGCAATTTATCAATGTTTCAATTACGATCGGATTGTAGCTTTCATGTAAATGATTTTATTTCACTAGCTGATCATGTATCACCTCTTATGCGTCTTATGCTTGAAGAAGCAATTAATTTATTTATTCAACGTAAATTACGTGCTGTTGAACCAACAGTAACTTACGAACCATCTCAAGTAATAGAAGCATTATTAAGATGTAATAGTGGTCAAGTTATGGGTAAAGCAGTTTTTTGTATAACTTCATCCGATCAATTGTTAAATATTAATAAAAATCAATCAAATAATTTATTAAAAGGTAATCATCATATTTTATATTTACATTTTTTCTTAATCAATAGTTGTAAGTGATAATACAATGTTTTCATTAGAAGTTTATATTCAAGGAACAATTTAAATATCTGATGGTTTTGGTTTAACAATGTCTCGATGGATGATTGAAGAACGAGGTGTTAAACATATTGCCCTTATGAGTCGTCGAACATTAGTTGAACTTGAAAAAGCATCAAATCCACAACAGAATGAATGGTTAAGATTAAAACGAACAACAAAAGAATATAATGCTCATGTTAATGTTGTTCAAGCAGATGTAACAAACTTTCAGCAAGTTCATGATTTAATTGAAAGATTTCAAAAAACTTGTTATCCTATTCGTGGTATTATTCATGGTGCTGTTGTTGCAGAAGATCGTACTTTAAATAATTTAACACAAGAACATTTATCACTTGTTTTACCACCTAAAGTTCGTGGTGCTTGGTATCTTCATCAAGCTACACAACTTCTTCATGCACCTCTTCATTTTTTTATTATGTTTTCATCAATTCGAAATCATTTACTTGAAGTTGCCTCTGCTGGTTATAATGCTGGTAATCAATTTCTTGATGCACTTGCTTATTATCGTTTTACAAAACTTAATTTACCAGTACTTTCAATTAGTTTACCAGCTGTAAGTGGTACTGAGATGTTTCATCATCAGAAAGAAATGCTCAGTACTTTAAGAGTTACTCAAGGTTTTGAATTACTACCAACAATAACTGTATTCAAATTAATTGAATGTTTTCATCAAACTCAAAAGATTTGTCCATGTCCTGTTATTTTTGCTGTTAACTAGCAAACATTACATCGAAATCATCTATCAGTAGCTATATCTTATTTAAGAAAAATAGTTAATCAAATATCATCATCATCATCATCATCAGAAAAAACTCATTCAATTGAGTCTAGTATGAATAAAAAAGAAACTATTATTGAAGAACTCAATCAACTGTTGCACGGTTATCAGGTGCAGCTAATTGGTTAGGTCAAGAAACTGGTATTTATATACCATTATCTGCTCTTCTTCAAGGACTTTCAATTGAAACAATTGCAACACTTGTTTATAATAAACTTACTGAAAAAGAACAAACAAAATCATCAGCTGCAAAAGAACAAGATTCAGGGTTTGATTTAATTAATGAAAATGAAGTTCAATTTTCTAATACATCAACATATTCAGGTTTAGAAAATCTCGTTTGTCTACATCGTGTGTGTGTGTGGGTATGGGTGTGGGTGTTGGTAGAACAGAACACCCACACACCCACATCCATCAATATGAATATAGTTATACAGAACAATGTCTGAGACATCTGTTTACCGTAGAGAAAATGTATTTTAATTATCAAGTTAATTAACACATCAAAGGATAGGTCAAAAACGTGTATTGAATAAAATTCATGATAAAAGTGAAAGTGAAGATATTACAAAATTTTATTCTTAAAGATTTATACAGATATTTCGTAAAATAACCGTCATTGAATTTAGTACATTTTGATAGAATAGGTTAAATTTTGTGAACGTAAATGAATATCTTCTGTTTCACTTGCATTAGATTAAGTAGTTTACTATCTTTCTTCACTTTGACTGTTAGTATTACCATATTGGTTCTAAAAAATGTTTTACTATGATACTTATTACTTATGAAAGTCATCAGAGTTATTTTCACTCTATTTGATTATTTTGATTAAGTAAGATTAACATGTTGAGCTCAGCATACATTGCGATATTATGCTGTATCCTAATTTCTCTATATATTGTTTAATTTACCGGTGAAAATTAAGTATTTTGATGACCCAGAAAGACGTTAACTATTCGATTATTCTACAGATATTACTATAAAATGATGCTGGTCCTAAAGAAAAGCTCTTCCGTGAATATTTACTAATAGTTAATCAACTTATATACTGACACTAACAAACCAACATTGTTTTTTTTGCTTTCTTATTCAATATAATATCACATTAACTCAGTTCATTTTCTTGTGTGATTGTGAAATATTATTAAATGATAGCCCATCGAATCCTTATATAAATAATAGAAACTGTAGCTTCAGTTTTCTAATTATAATAATAAATAACGAATTTAATAATGTTGAACTTTTTTCTGATGTGTCGAAATTCATGTTTTCTTTTTTCTTATCTTTTTTTAATTTCTAGATTATAATCGGCTTTTGCATTAGCAATACATATTTTCTATTGATTTATTACACAAAAATGTTTCCACAAAAGAAGCAAACAGTAGCAACCACTGGTCAAAAAGCACAACGACTGATAGTTTCTGGCCGAACAGAAGCTATAGCTTCATCTGCTCAACAGCGTATCTACATGCATGAAAATCTTTCTTTTAGTGCCTCCGATTATTCTGTCTACAATTATGTAATCCCGTTGACAATAAAACGTGGCTCAGTATTCATAGAACATATTCGTTTGTCCTTAGTTTCAGTAATTCAGCAGCACACAGTTTTTCGCACTGCCATTCGTTTCAATTCAATGCATAATGAAATCGAGCAAAACATTCTACCATTCACCGAGAATATCTATTCGTTTCAACATTCCCAAGGTGTTTCCACATTAGAAAAGCTTGATCGTCTATTGACGAACGAATCAATTGGAAAATATTTCGATGTTGAAAATGGAAAAGTTTTACGATGCCATGTAGTACAACGATCTGCTGACAACTATGATGATTCACTACACGAAGATGATCTTATTATTTTTGTGATTCATCATATCGCATTTGATCTCAGCTCATACAAACCATTTCTAAAAGCCTTTGAACGAGCATGTTTGGCAAATGAATATCAGCAATCATTGTTAACAATGCCACAATACGTTGATTTTGCATTGTATGAACAAGCTCTGCTATCCGACACAAACCCGGAGTCAAAAATGAACAAGGCTCGTCGTTTTTGGGCTAATCTTATGCATGGATACGACTGGGATAAAATACGATATTTGGTGCGCGATGAAAATCGAACCGATCAGCATTATTCTGGTCGTGGCTATACAACTGCATTTACTATCAACCAAGATCTTGTCGATGCAATGATGTTATTTGCTTCAACCAACAATGTAACAATGTTTTCATTATATCTGGCTTGTTATTATGCATTTTTATTTAAACTAACTAATCATAGTAATGACATGTGTGTAGTAAGCAGCATAGCTAATAGATCTGAGAAAGAGATACAAGATATGATTGGTATGTTTGTCAATCTTGTATTATACCGAGTCAAAACTGAACCAAACAATACATTTGAACATCTTGTGAAACAAGTGCAACCACTAAGCAAAGAAATTCTTATGCATAGTTCTTTACCTTACCAACAGATTATTGAATCCCAAGGCAAACGAGAAAATAATGCATTACCATCAGCATTTTTCCAGTATGAACCTTTAAAATTAGCAGTGACGCAGAAAAACTCAATTGAATTAACTTTGAGCGAAGGGTCGGTTATAAGCGGTTACTATGATAGAGATCTGAATCACCAGAGCGGCATATCACTATTCGATATCTCTCTTACAATTATCCATGACCATCATACACCAAGTACTGAATGTTTTTTGGATTGTTCGGCTGATATATTTAAACATCAAGATGATGTCGATCTACTATCAAAGCGTTTTCAACATATCCTGACGCAACTCTTTTGTTCTTCGATTGCTGGCGGGTCAACCTATAATCAATGTAGTATATTTATCAGCAACTTGTCACTTAATTTACCTGAAGAAATTGAAGAAATACAAAAAGTAATCTTTCACAGATTACCGACTACTGCAAATAAAGGTATGTCTATCCATTCTGATGTTTTTGAATGTATGAAAAATGAAATTCGTATAGATGTACTAACAAACAATGTTTCCAATGTGATAACATTTCTCACAATAACCTTTCTGAAAAACTTATTCGTCAAATGCTAAGCAAAAGAATGACGTCAGTAAAAATAATCAAACATAATAGGATATATTCTGTATTGTTTAATATTTTTAACATCTGAATTGTAGAATAAATGATAGAAGTTCAAATACTTCTCTCTGAGGTAAAAAGTAACTAAGTTTAGTCGTAGAGATTGACAAAGATTGAATCGAAATTTTACAATTAAATATTTTCCCATTTATGGAGAGTAGTAATTAGTAGCGATACCACCCACTCGAAACTGATTACAGCTCACCGTGAAATGTTTTTAGCCAATGTATTTTTCAGGTGCCTTTTGGTGTAACACTGATCATGAAATGTTTCGCTGAACGCAGGCTATGCTAACAGAAAATCTTACTTCGATCATAAAAGTTAAAAATTGAATCCATTTGCCAGATAAGGCAAAGACTATTATAGTATTATGATGGTGACATCTCTATTCGAATTTGAGGTAGACTGAAACTAATTTTTGAGCTTTTTTTAAAATTTCATTTCAGTCGCGTCTAAACACAAAAACTACTTCGTTTCACTCGTGTTCGATTGTTACGATTTCCACGCCCTTCGATACAGAAAAATATTTATACAAAAACCCTATAACATGGTTATCATCTCAGATTATAATCGATTTAAATAAAAAAATAGTATACTACTCAATGTATAACTTATATTTATATTAAGTAATTTCAAAATCCAAAAACCTTAAGTTTCTATTTATTAAATCAAAATAAGTAAACTATTAATACTAAAGTTTCATTATTCTAGCGCCAGCTTCCTATGCACAAGCTCGTATATGGCATGACGAAAGAATTCGATTTGATCCAGACAAACCTCCAATAGCAATCTATAATATGCCTTTTGTTTATCGTCTGCAACCAGGTTATACTTTATCGATCAAACAACTTCGTCATGCTCTTCATCTCACTGTTGACAAACATCTCTCACTTCATACATCACTTCATTTTGACATCGAAAAGAATCTACTTATACAACGAGTTATTACTCATGAAGATAAAAGTAACAATTTGTTTTCAGTAATCGAAACTACTTATGAAACAGATGAACAACTCAATGAGATTTTACATGATGAAAAACGTAATCCTCATCTTTTTGATCTTGCTCAAGGTCTTGTCTTTCGATGTCATCTTGTTTATTGCAAACAAATCTCTTCAAATGATCTTCTTTCTCACAAAGATCTACTTATCTTCAACTTTCATCATGCTTTATTTGACTTTTCATCAATGAATATCTTTCTTCATGATCTCAATCAAGCATATACAACAGATCAATTATTATATGATGATAGCACTAATCTACGTTACCTCGATTGTAAATATAATTAGTTCTTGTATTTTCCTCTTTTGCCTAATGCATTCTTTTCTTTAATTACATAATAGATGCTGTTATCGAACAACAAATGCCAATGACTGGTGCAGGTATGTTTTGGCTTGATACTCTTCATGATTGTAAACTCGATCAACCTTTATCATTACCATTTGATCGATATCGTCTCTCAAATGAACATCGAACTAGCCGTGCAACATCTATCTCTTTTGATTTTGGTCAAGATCTCTCACATGACTTTCTTACCCATGCATCATCGAACAACATCTCACTTGAACATCTTGCATTTGCTATTTATTTCATCTTTCTATTTAAACTAACTAATAGACAAACAGATCTATGTATTGCTATGAACATCAATAATAATCGATTTAGAGATGAACTCAAATCAATCATTGGCTTGTTTGAGAATGTCATTCCGTTACCATGCCAGTTAGATCCTCATTGGTTTTTTCATCAATTACTCGAACATGTTCGAGAGACAATAACAAATAGTATGAAATATTCATATTTTCCTCTTCAACATATTCTTAATCAACATCCACATATTTCCGAACATACATTTTTGGATACACATCTGGAATTCATATCATACAAGACCAACAATAACAACAATGCAATTATGATTGGTGATTCTCAACTTGTTCCAGGATCTTTCTCATTCCATACTAATGAAGATGAGATATTAGGTGCATCTGATTTCTCGCTTTCATTTCATCATGATATGAACATGAATCAACTGTCATGCACAATCAATGCATCACTTGATTTGTTCAATAGAGGGACCGTGGAGACGATTTCACAACGATTTCATTCTATCTTACATCAATCATCTGCATTTATTATTGACAACCAAATAAACAAATCAATCTATGAATTATCATTAACATTATCAAATGAACAATACTTAATGCAATCATTGAATAATACACAAGTATCATTTCCATCTGCTCCCACTTGTATTCATCATGAGTTTGTACAACAAGTAATGAAACATCCACAAAAACTAGCTGTTGAACTAGATGAACAATCATTGACATATTGTGAACTTTTATATTATGTTCAAGTCTTATCTTTAACTCTTCTCAATGAATATCATGTGCTTCCAGGTGAGATAGTATGTCAATGTGTTGAGCGAAGTCTGTCCATGGTAAGTTGATTAGGAGAAGTAACTATTGATGAGAGTTTGAGATTTATCTTTGTTTAGGTGATTGGTATTATGGGAATTGAAATGGCCGGTGGTGTCTATTGTCCATTATCACCTCGAGATCCAGAATATCGTTTACATGCACTTACACAACAAACACAAAGTCGTCTTGTACTTGTTCATCATCTAACTAAGACCAAATTCAACCATGATATTGCGATACCTGATATCGATTCAATTTTGACCAACACAGAGACACACAGTAGAATCCATGTGAATCGACTCTCAGATGTCGCAGTAATACCGGATAGTATGGCGTACATCATCTTCACAAGTGGATCAACGGGAATACCGAAACCGGTTAGTAAAAACATGATTTTTGTAATTTCATACTATATATAACTATCGGTGTTCAAAGACTCAACTTCGGCATAGAAATTTTACTCGATCAATACAATCTTTAGTACATGTTGATATATTTAACAAAAACGATATCATTGTACAAATGGCACGCTGTTCGTTTGATCTTCATGTTCAGGAAATCTTAGGAACGTTAATCATAGGAACCACAGTAATCATGTTACATCCACAGGGAAACTATGATTTCGAATATCTTTCCATACTTATGGAAAAGAAACAAATTACTTTTCTTTATACTGTACCGACATTACTGCAACTCTTTTTTAAATTTATCAAAGAAACTAAAAAAGCATATGTTATTCAATATTTGCGATCTCTCTGCACTGGAGGTAGATATATAAATACTCACTTACACCATTACCATGGACTATTGTTTTTCTTCTTCTTGTTCTTAGGTGAACGTTGCTCGGTACAACTTGTTGAATTATTAGAAAGTATTATAAATAGCGACTGTTCTATATGGAATTTATGTGGGCCAGCGGAGACAACTCTTCAATCTTTATTTCATCGAGTGAACTCTCAAATAGACGCAGTAACTATTCCACTTGGTAGACCACTACCCAATTATTCTTGTATAATCGAAGATGATTTTGGACAGTGTCTCATTGTCGGCAAAGAAGGAGAGATCCTAGTGAGAGGAATTGGCATCTTTGCGGGTTATCTTGGACGTGATGATTTAACCGCTAGAGCTCTTGTTGAGATAGATGGCGAACTATTTTATCGAACAGGTGATCTTGTTACAATGGATAACAATGGTCTTCTTCGTTACCAAGGAAGAAAAGACCATCAAATCAAACTTCATGGACAACGGATTGAACTTGGTGAAATTGAACGATGTTTACTTAATATTACATCTATCTCTGCTGGTGTTGTCATGAAATGGAAAGATGATCATTTAGTTGCTTATGTTCAAAGTTCTGATATTGATGAAAACGCATTACGGGAACATTGCCAATTACACTTACCACCTCATATGATTCCATCAATATTCATCATACTTGACAAGTTACCAATGAATGCAAATGGAAAAATAGATCGAAAACTTCTTCCTCCACTAAATTTTTCATCAATATTAATATCTGATAATGAAGCTCAATACATTGAACCAAATGATATTGTAGAAATGAAGATTCATTTAATTTGGTGCGAAATTCTTCAACGTACCCATATTTCAATGAATACAAGTTTTTTCAGCATTGGCGGACATTCACTTCTTCTTATGAAACTATATCATCGTTATAAAGTAGTTTTCAATCTTGGTACTAATACTATGAACGTAACGCAATTAATTGAGCATGTCACAATTGCTGAACATGCGAGCCTTATAAAACATTGGTCAGACTATGTACAACAAGATGTTAAGCCATGGTACTTATTAAATTTCACTTCTGGTAAGTGTTTTTAATAGTCGAAATATTATATATTATTTAGTTGTTTTGTATGATAATGATAAAGATAATCAATGTAAAATACATTGATGCGTTATTTAATTGTCTGTAGTAAAACTTATAACAATAATTGAGAAAAGCATATGCAGGATTATCAGATGATTAGTGTATCAGTGAGAACATTTCATCAAAAACTAAAATCTTTGTTGAGAGCACATTTATTTCAAGATGTAAGTTGGTTAATTAATCTATGCAATCATAGAGTAATGATATCAAACTGCACACATTAATGATACTATAATATTATGCATATTTAAATAACATCGAGTAATCTGAAATCTATATCATTAGTGTGACTACCAGTTTAAACTTCTCTACAGTAACTATGGGAATTTCAAAATAAGTGGACTGTAAATCTAGTTTTATATATGTGATTTTATAAGTAATGTTTCTGTTCTATTTATTAGATGACTCGATTATACATGGATTCTCATCTTCATCCAAAGGTAGACTTTACATTCGCCATAAGAATATCGATGATTTATCTCAAGATGAAACAATGATTATTGAACAACTTGAAAAAAGCTATCTTTCTGCGGTAATTCAAGAGATATATATTATGTGGATTACTGATCCTCGATTTAATGAAAATATTGAGTTAAAGCAACGACTTGCCGCTATAGTTGTTTCGCAAGCACACGAATTAACTGTGCTAGAAGAATTGGAGAAGTTTTCAAATCGGAAACATTTCCACAATGTTCAAATTCCATGGGCTGTCCTCACTGAAAAAGAATCACATTCTACATTGCTGAAAGGTATGAATCGAGAAATTCTCGAAAAACATTATCGAACAAAAATAATAAACATCCTACTTGCAAATGTAACTTTTGATACTTCTTTAAATATAACCGAACAAGAAAGATTTCCACAATCTGATACGTTAATTGAACATGATAAGTTACTCGATCCGTCTCTGCAGCCATCTATCGAAACAAACAACAAAGAGAAATGTAAAGATATTTTTCTCACTGGATCAACTGGTTTTCTTGGTTCTTATCTTCTTGATGAATTATTGAAACAAACGGATGCAAATATATACTGTCTTGTTCGCTCGAAAAGAATTACAGATACATTACAATCTCGCGTGATTTATCTATATGGTGATTTAACTCTTCCTCAACTGGGTCTTCACAATTATCAATATTCGATGTTAGTATCGAAAATATGTTCAATTTATCATTGTGGAGCAGAAGTTAATTTCATTAAATCATATACTGATCTTCGATCAGCAAATGTGCTTAGTACTCTGGAACTAATTAAACTAGCATGTTTAACTAATTGTCGAATTAATTATATATCTACTTTAAGTGTTTTGGATGAAAATAATCAAAGCGGATATGTACAAAGCAAACAAGTTGCTGAATGTCTGGTGAAACAAGCAAGTGAAAGAGATTTAACTGTAAGCATACTTCGACCAGGTAAGACAACACCTTCTACTATCATTTAGGAATTTGTAATCTAATTTTTCCATGAGTTAGGCTTCATATCATGGTCTTTATCGACGGGTGATTTTAACAAGGCAGACTGGTTTATCTTTCTATTTTTGGATCTGATTGAGTTTGGTTTGGTACCTGAAACTAATTATGTGTTCAGTATGACGCCGGTTGATCAGATGAGTAGATCAATCGTCAAGCTAAGTGAATCAAATGAAACAGTAGAAGTACCAATCAATCTTTTCGAAACACATACAATCACTTTTAAAGCAATATGGAACGAAATTTGCCGGCAAAAAATGATGGAACCTCACTATCTCAATGCAATAGAATGGCGTCAAAAACTGGATGCATACTTAACGTTGGATCCACAATCATTCCGTGGATTACAGCTTTTTTCGCACATACTAACTGACTCTTTTCCACAAGACAGAACAGCTACTATCGGTATTGAATCTGATCTCAATCTGCCAATATTTGTGAAAACATTACTTCGAAAATAACTATTTGACGTAATTATGTAGAAATTGAACTCTGCTTTTAACTATGGGTGAATCCATAAGATTTCTACCAACTTTTATGATAAAGCTTTTATTATCGAATCTTTTATTATTTAGGCGTAATGTTGACAGAAAATAGATTTGGTCAAGAAATATTCGTGACTACTATCTGGTATACTGAAAATTCATGTTATCCTCTTCGAACATCTACACAGAAGAAAGATCAGCTAGGTTCTTAAAATATTTAAAGCTAATGTTTTGTTGATAGATAGAAGGTCACTACACTGTCATAACCTCCAAAGAATCCATTTTTTCGATGTATCATGACTGAGATATAAAATTCTTAAAGAAAGTGAATTCTACACGTTTATTGTGATAAAAGAGTCTTTATTAGTCACAGATGTTTTTCGGTCAAATCTATTTTCTATCTATGTTACGCCTGAATAACGCCGAAGATGGTAGAAACCTCCTGATTCACCCTTAGTACATTCTCATTATCTTGTAACTCGATTTCATAATAATAATTTTCTAGGCTAATAATTTTTTTTTCTTGAACTCATAAATAATAAGTTTGAATATTTTATAAAATATTTATTCCCGAATAAAAAATAATTAAAAGTCTGTTGGTAACTTTGTTATTCGACATCATCAAATTTCGTGTTTTATGATATGTATTCATCATCCTAAGTTTTCACCAAAATTGAATGGACAATCGAGACAACGCTAAACAATGTTGAGAGTGGGTAAGAGTATTAAACTGATTTAATCATCCTTTATTTCCAACATAGAATATGAATCGAAAGTATCTAATAACTGCAAAAAACAAAATAATGTATTTAATCAATTAAGGATGACTAATCAATCATCAAATATCATTGTGTCTCTAACAAAAAACAAAAATACGATCTAGATATATTTTTATTATCAAATAAATTGAAAACTACAATTAAATCGTAGTATTAATACAGAATCTTAACTGTTGTGTCACATGAAATGAGACTTTAATCTAAGTTTTTTCAACGTTAAAGAAAACATTTTCAAAATGAAACGTTTTTGATAAGTATCAATTAAGTCTGTTCGAGCATAAAATAACGTAAAGAATTGCATTTGTTTTTGTTTCACTTTTCATTTGTTGTAACATTCGAGGGTGGGTGTGGATGTGGATGTGGGTGTAGGTGAGGGTGTGGGAGTGGGTGATAAAATCAAGACTAACGCCCACATCCACCCACACTCACACCCACACCCACGCCCACACCCTTTTTGATGAGTGAATACGAGAGATAACACACATTTTCTCAAGCAGTTTAATTGAATTTTTACTATTTTCATTTTATTTAATAAAAACACCACAAACAACATCTAAAAAACATAAAATTATATTTTATATGTTTTAATTCGTTAATAAAACTTATTAATAATATATTCGTTAAACTGTTAATTTTCATTGCGTATCATTAATATCAAGTGTAACTAGTTTGTTTAGAGTTTCATGTGTTGGAAACAGATCTTTTTGTGTTCGCAATTGAGTATAAACACCATATCCAACTTGCTGCATTTTCATATATACATGAACTAGATTTAGATAAATTCGAATTGATCCTTCTGATCCATAACGATATGTTAAATATCTCCATAGAAGTATTACATATGCATTTTGAATTTGAAAAATAGCTTGTTTTTTCTTCAGAATCTTTGTTGGTGTTGGAGAATCATCATAATAATGAAGAGGAGTAGAGAAGAATAGGATAATAACAAATAAACGTGTGACTACTGGATCAGTTGTCCATGATTTTTCAGCCATTCTTTCTGCTTTATCGAATTCTTCATATAATTGTATACCACAAACTAGTTGCCATGTTTTGTTATAAGCATTTACCTAGAACACAACACAAAACGATAGTTTAACTTGTTCTAGTATAAATATTTGTGAATGATTTTGACTCTTTTTACCTGCCATGGTTCAGCAAAACATGT